GTTCAGCTGGAACTTCCTCTGCTTCAGTTTGTGCCCGTTGCCCCTTGTCCTGTCACTGGGCACTACTGAAAAGAGTCTGGCCCCGTCCTCCTGACACCCACCCTTCAGATATTTATAAACATATATTAGGTCTCCTTGCAGCCTTCTCTTCTTCAGGCTGTCATGGAGCAGAGGGGAACACAGGGTGACTTGAGGACTGGCTACCTCTTGATGAGCGGGATCTTGGTGCTCCAGTTGTTGAACGATCCGGAGATGAAGACCTCTTTGCCTCCATCAGCCCAGCGGATGACAGTGGGACGAGCTTGTTGGGATGGTTTCACCGACTCCTCCAGGTCTGGCTGCCATGACACAAACTCCTTGTCCCCAGGAATCTGAGCAAAGAAAACCAGAGCCTGACTGAGACACACAGACAACCGGGACCACATTTACTTCCCCCTGGCCTCTACCAGCCCACCCGCACATGCCAGCCAAGAGCATGACAGAGCTCCTCCAGCCTCCCAGCTCTCTGCAGACCCCTCGCATGGGAGCTCAGCCTCGCACAGCCAGTGAGCTTAAGCCCCAGCCAGGGCCCCAGAGAGCGGAACAGGCAGTGACCAGCCCCTACCTTGGAGTCATGGGAGCTGAAAACACTGGGGTCGTCGGTGCTGCCCACCATGATCTTGTGTGGGTGCTCCTTGGCTGGGTGGGGGGCACCGGAGCCGTCTGAGCGGTGGGACTTGGAGCCATGGCGCTCCCCAGACACTCGCTCACTGGTGGTGTTCCCCATGACAGCTCAGCAGCCACTGTGAGAGAGAGAGAGAGAGGAGGGTAGTGTGCCTGTGCCCACGGGATCCAGCAGCGAGGATAGGAACACAGGCGCCGTTTCCCAGTGCTCTTTGCCAGGGGAGACTGACAGCAATCCTAAAAAAGGCCCAAAGTTCATTCCCACTGCCAAGTTTGGGAGCTGAAGGGGAATTTAACAAACAAGACAGCTTGACCTAATTATAGCCATATCCTTATGAAACATCACTCCAGTTAAGCTGGTAACCGTTATACTCCAAAACTGATACTAGTCACCCTGCTCCCCCTCCCAGCCCGCAGCCGCCAGCATAGCAGAGGGGCTGATAGGAAAAATAAAGCCAACCTTTACCAGAAACTCCATTGCTTGGCGTTAACAGAGCCTCTTTCACAGTCCCACAGTCAGGCTCTTCAGACCCATCCCCTACACACAGCAAAAAAACAGCCGGAGAGTGAAAGTAGCAGCTGTCTAACAGCTCCCAACAAGTCTCCAAGAGCTCACGGGCAGAAGAGAGGAGCCTCATGCCTGGCAAAGGCGACAGGGAGCATCTAAAGTGTCCGAATGGAATCGCCCAAGCTAGAGTTTGGCCACGGCATCTGCAAAAACCTCAGCTCTCGACAGCATTCAGCTATGATTCACCAGGCAAGTGAGCGTGTCAGCTGCAGCACAGTGCAGCGACGAGGTCCACTTGCTGTGCCCTTAACCAGTGGCACCACCCCGTCGGCTCCAGCGTCTGCCTGGCCATCCGGAGGCACATGGCGAGGGACAGGCAATCCCAGCCACCCCAGCACCGCTCTGCAGCTGGAGATGGGCTGCCAGCCCCGATCTCACCCAGCTCCGAGAAGGCAAAGCAGAAGAACTGGCCATACAGCGCCAAGCCATGAACAACTACACACCTCTGGGGACAAACAACCAGCCCACCGCAAGCTACGTGGGACTCTTTGGGCCTTGCCCAGTTTCCAGCAGCCGAGACGGATCAGGGTTCTTGTCCCCTTCCCAGGCTTATTTTGCAGCTTTCAGCTGACCTTGTTGATCGTGGGCTCCGCAGGGCAAGGCAAGAGGACAGCCAGCCTTCCTGCATGCACTTAGCTCCGATGTCTGGGGATTTGTTTAGAAGACCAAGTGATGCAATGGGTGCCAGGGCAAGGCCGCCAGCCAAAGCCAGGCTTTAGAACATTATGGAGCAATTACTGAAGTATTTCTTAAATCCTGAAGGCTAAAAGGCAGCTCGAGAGGGCAGCTAACCCACACCCCCACCCCCTCGCAGTGAAGATCAAGTGTAGCTGAAGATCTGGGGCAGATGAACTGCACTGCTTGCTCTGATATCTTCCCCCTCTGCTTGGGAGGAGGCTCAGCTGGCTCCTCACAAAGTCCACCCCTGTGCCGCTCGACGTGCCGCTGAGGAGCTTCTCCCCTAGTATCTCCACTAAGGCTCCCTCCTCACTTCTCACCCATGGGGAGGAAGGTAGGAAAAGCTGAGCATCCTCTTGTACCGAGACAGACCTGAGAGATACATGCAGGTGTCAACAGATGTGAAAGCTCCCCTTTCCATTCCCTGAAAGCAATCCAGTCCCTCGGGCTGTCCCTTACAGGCCACGCTCTCCAAACGCCTCCACAGAATCACAGAATGTTCGGGGTTGGAAAGGACCTCTGTGGGTCATCTAGTCCAACCCCCCTGCCGAAGAAGGGTCACCCAGAGCA